AACATCACAAAATTATAAATACCTAATCGAGAAAAGAAAGAGAGATTAGAAATAGTCCTCAAAAAATAACTGTTAAATAGTTTTACCATGAAAATATTAAAATGATGGGAAAAACACAATACATGTTTATCACTTAAAACTCTAATATGTTTATAAGGTAGTACTAAATTAATTTAAACGTAGAGTTGCATTTATTATGAGTAAAAGTAAATTCTTTTCAAATTTTAAAGGTTCTTACATGGCTGAATACAGCTTGAAACGCGAAAAGGTCGAAGGATGAGGATTTTGAGCCTGCTCTAGCTATAACGTCAGACACAATAAGCAAATTTAACGGTGTATCTCGTAGCAAAAAATTAACCTTTTACAGTTGGTCTTATAGGAACGTCAATTTGTTATTACTTAATCAGCTGTCGGTTACGCAGACATCCACACCATTTCCTTTGGTGTCCGCTTGTGGGAATAAGTCTCCCAGAAGCGAAGAGCTCTCCTAGTGGAAACTTTTTCCAATTTCTGAGGGGGTCTGCTCACAATGGAAATCACTGTACCAACGATGGCTTGCTAGAATAATTGACACGATTTGCTATGATATTCAGCGTCACATGCAATTTTGCCTGAAATGAAAGGGCCACACTGAGAAATATCAGGAAAAAGGCTGACAGAAAACTGATGGGTAATTCAAAGGCCCACAAAATTCCATACCATCTGTTAAATCCATCATTTGTTGAGCACATCACACACGGTAAGTCCCGGCCATCATTGCATATTAACAACAGTAAGAGACCAACCTTTAGACTCCACGGTAGTGTATCGTCAAGAAGCTACCAGGTTAGACAACTTACACTAACTTTGGTCGCTTATGTATTATTAATAACTAATATTAAAAACAACATCAACTTCTTCCACAACATATCATAATAAAATAATTAATTCAAATTAAGTTCCAATAATTATAATAATAATAATAATATATTGTTCTGCAGCCATAGTTGGTAGGTTTTATAAAATATTTGAATTCATTGAAAATGCTTTTTTTCCGGCAATTTTGATCAGGTCCTAGGGCAAGGAAATCCCTTTTTAGTCCGTCAGAAACTGCAGTTCACAAGAAGATGCTAATGAGATCAAAATCCCCTTTTCTTAAGCTATTTTCAAAAAACCAAGAATAAAGGGTCGCACCAGTTACTATTTGCCATCAAGAGCTTGCTTTAATAATTGCAGAGCAATTAGCATTCTTATTTATTAGATATCCTTAGATTCCAATGCAGTTTGTTTATAACTGAAGATAATGCAGGAATAGTGTTCATTTGCTTTATTGAAATAATCAGCATTTTGGCCAAAAAACTTGTGCAGCTTAAGCAAGCAGTAAACAAAACGGCTTCTAATTTCTTACCATGACGTTTAAAAATGAAATTCTTCTGCTCGCTCACTCAAAAAAGTTTTTTTAAACGATGCATGGACTCCATTATTCTAATGAGCACTTCTCGCTACAAAAAGGTCTACCATAGTGCATTGCAGGCTATGAAACATGGATCATCTATCATTGATCATGCTTCCCTAGAGCAACCTTAATTGAAATACGTGTATATAAAAAGGTTCAATTTGATGAATTTCCAGAACTTAGAACTTAAAGTAAATACTCCCCCCAAAAAACCGAGATTCCTCTGATACTGGGAGGGTGCTGGTCAGCGGTTACAGCCTGTGGAGATGTGAAGGTACCTTAAGTGATCTAATGGCAAGCAAAGCAGACTGCCTAAAACAGCTCAATATAGAGGATGACGTAACTTCATAAGGGAGCAGCTTCCAGCCTCTTAAACCTTTGGGAAACATGAATAATTGAAAAATGAGACATTTGTTGGTGAGATCTAGTAGACCTGATTTTGTCGATAACTTTAACTGGACTAGAAATTTGAAATTCTTAAAAAAGCACTGATTGGTTGAACAAACGCTGGTGTATGAGAGTATCCCAGCCTAAGGACTTAACAAGGCTGGAAGTACTTGTTGCAATGTCATAGTCATTGCATACAAAGCAAGCCACATTCTTCTGAATTTGCTCAAGGTGCTTTATGTCAGTGTCAGTGTAAGGATTTCCAAAGAGGACGCATATTCAAGCATCGGTCTAACTTGTGTCACATAAGATCTCTCTATAACTTCTACCCTGCACGGTTTCAGTGATCGTCTAGCAACACCAAGGGACTTATTTGCCTTCGCAGCTATCTTAGAGCAGTGAGCACCCCACTGACGGGGTTTTGGTGCACGTAACCCTCCCTTTAGGGACTTTTGCTAACGCCTCAGAATTTGCAGCTTGTGTGAAGTTAAACGGTCACACGATTTCCCCTCCACCTTTAGGACTGGCAGAATGGATCATGCCAAAACCTGTAACTGGAGTGGTGGGTGTTTTGCCAAGGACAGAAGGTAAATTACTACACTAATTTCGCCTTTTAACTAAAAAAAAATAGAATAAAAAGTTAATACTTCGACAGCACTAAAAAAAGGAAGTTTTAACCATGTGTGGTTTTGTGACATTAACACTTGTTTTATTTTCTTCAGTGGAGTCTGATCTTGAAATAATTTCATTCTTTTTAACAGGAAACAAAGCATCAGAAACTAAACAAAGTAGGAAAAAAAGAAATAAAAAGAAAGCTGACAAATCAACATGCAAGAAATGTGGAGAAGAATACCCCCCAAGGAACAGGAATATTTTAATTAGGTAGGTTAGAGGCAATGGCTGCGAGTTTTGGTTCCCTAAGTAAGATGATTGTTAACTACACCAAATATTGAGTCAGGAAAAAACCCTACACTATAAACTCAGATGACTGTGGTTGCCATACTTTTTTTCGGAAATCATGTGAGTAGTATAGGACATGGCGGTACCAGCACATTCCTATATTCTGGATTTGACCCTGGGGTTTTATGCTGACGTCAACATTTTTGGAACCGGTTTGGACTGGTTATATTTGCTAATTAATTGGACAAAACGAAAGGTACTTAAAGACAAGAAGACAGTATATTAATGGAGTGTAAAAGAGAAATTTATGTTAATGTACTGAAATTTAGGATTCATCCAGTTTTTGATCAGTATGCTGCAAGCAGGTGTGGCAAAATTGTTAATATTGAGCGAGAGGCTATATTATTGGGAAATCCTTCGAGTTCTAATTATTTACTCTGCCGTGTTTGGGCTAAAAATGCGAAGAACCAGAAATCGGTTTATGTCCACAGATTTGTTTATGAATGCTATCATGGTATTATACCGTATGGTTTAGTGATCGATCATATGAATAATGACATGAATGATGACAAGATTGATAACAGATTATGTAATCTGCAATTAGTAACACAACAAGAAAATAGTCTGAAAGGTGCCAAAAATAATGTCAAAAGATCACCACCACGAGCGGTAGTAGCAATAAATCTCACTACGAGAGAGCGCTTCTATTTCCCTAGTATTACACCAACAGGAAAGGAATTGGGGATTGTCCCGCCATCAATACAAAAAGTTTGTGAAAAAATGTCAAAGCGCGCGGTCTAATTATGATGACTATTGGTATCAGTTTGAATATTTGGATTGAACCATAAGCCATTTAAGAGAATAAGGATTGATTATATTATAGAAGGAATAATAATATAATCTAATAAAAGGATGTACTATTGGAGCAATCGGGAAAGAGATACCTCAGTTGCCCTATGGGGACTAATAACAATAATAGTAGCATGGCGTGCTTTAAAGCCAAGTCACATGGCAATTTGTCTGCTGAGCCATACGCCCGTTTGCCAGGTAATAAAATAATCTACACTAATAGTAATATGAATAGAGAAAATCAATCAAAGTTATCAAAGGATCAATTAATCAATATGCTCTTGAGGAAACAAACCGTAAGCACCAATAAGGCAGGACCGGTTAAACAGACTGCCAGCACTGAGGTAGGACCAGTCTTTCAGCTAAAATCACTCACACAGCTAGTGGCTAACAAACTGGAACAATCAATAAAACGACCAAACGTGATACCCAAACCAAGTACTCGATTGCCAACGTTGAAAACCTTAGCTGCAAATGCAGTGGTTAAGGACAAAATTAAGTACTTTGGGGAACTGTCCGATAAACAAGCTCCTATTATTAGATTAGATAAAAATACAGTGAGAGGGGGTAGACGTCCTACTCCTATTCCAGCTCCCAGAATAAGGAAACAGCAACCAGTAGCAGCACCAAGGACAAAAATTGGTGAAAAACAAAGGGCTCTCAAAGGTTTCACTAAATCATATGAGATCGGTTTGAATACTGATAGAGATGCTTTGGTGCAGCTCCAAATACGAGACTGGCAATAAGTAGATTACTTAA